GAAACATTGGTCCTAGGAGAAATCAAAAACGAAGAACCTAAACAGAACTGTATTTGAAGGGGCAAAAAAGTGTTATTCTATGTCAATCAAAAATTCTTTTCCTTTTAAAAAATACATGCACAGGAACAGAGAGTACTTCATGCCACTTTAGTCCAGACTTCACTTTATTGTACCTTTTCTTGAATGTGCTCTTACATCCTGTCTCCTTGGGGTCAGCTTCTTCTGTATTCAGTGACCCATTAAGAATAGTGGAGGTCATTGCTGGGGACCCATTAGTCCCGTTCCTCACTGCTGTGTTGAAGGTGTCAGAGTACAAAAGGCGCCCAACCTCCTCTTGGATGTCTCTCAGGTTTTTCCTGTCAAACGTCACCCAGGCCACGCAGCAGAAGAAACTATACAAGCACTGGGAAAAATTGAGTGAGGAAAAAAGAGGGAGAGCACAGTGAAGTGTCACCTGTCAGGTTTTATCCTCAGAACATTTCCTTCTTTAGTTTATTTTTTCATGCATTAATGGAATCAGCATGCCTTTTTTCTGACTAAAGGCCCAGCTGGCCACTTATTTTTCTGTGTTCTCAAAAGGTCACAACAGTTATTTCTGTTTAAAATACGGTCACATAGAGAGTGGGCGATAAGCTACTGCAGTTAGGTGACACTACTCTCCCTGTGCACCCACCTGGCTAAATACTGGAGCGAGGCTGTCAAAGCAAAACACCAGTGATGAGTCAACATCTCCTGCCATTAGCAAAATTCAGTCAGGCCACTAGGCATAAGCAGCACTCAGTGTTGACCTGTTCTGCTCACTACCATCTGGACTCACAGATGGTGAACTGGGATTCACTCAGACCAGCTGGAGACTCCATTTTTGTCTGTGTGTGTAGATGAGACAATACAGTTTCCAAGATTTCAAGATGCAAAATGTCAGGTCAGTTGTGAGTCAAATGCATCGTTTTTTTTTTTTTTTATGAGGACCAGTCATTTATTTATAGAGCACATTTAAAAACAACAGATGTTGACCAAAGTGCTTTACAGGACGCAAGAAAAACAAGAGAGAACTTTTTTTTTTTTAATAATTACATAATAGAAATAAATTAAGACTACTCATTAAGTTAATTACTGTGAGGACTCAAAGTTAACTGCATAAAGGTGAGTCTTTAGCCAGGATTTATAAGTGGCAGCAGATGAGGAGGATCTGACATTAAAAGCTAAACCGTTCAACAGCTCTATCACCTCTAGACCTAGGCTGTAAGTTTGGAACAGAGACAGGTATCTGATGAGATGATCTAAGGAGTCTGAATGCTGAATGCAGGATGAGCAGATCAGAGATATGCAGTAAGTTGGTGGCACACTGAAACAAAGAAAAAAGAACCCTAAATTTAACTGGTGGACAGTGAGTCTTGTTGCTACATTTTGAACTAGCTGCAGGCGAGCTACGGATGATTGTCTTACATAAGGAGAGTTGCAATAGTCAAGACATGAGGTAATGAAAGCATGAAGAACTGTCTCTTAATCACTGAATGGAAAAACAGTAATGGCACAAATAAGGATCACTTGCCAGTTCCTAACCTTTATAAAATCCTTAAAGCACATTGTTTGAAACAGTGCATTTGCTGTTGAGGTGAATATTATGTTGTAGCAAAATGCACTTACTGCATGTAGCAGCCATTCTGCACTGTGTGACAACATCTGGCCCCTAGGAAAAGACACAGAGTAGGAGCTTGTTAGGTTGTGTTGTTTAACTTCTGTTTAGCACTGTCTAAAATACTCACTTGTGTTGTGATGTGTGTTCGTTTTGTTTCATCTCCAGGTCCATAAACAGGCTGAAGTAGCAGATAGCCAACTTCTTTTTAGCTATCTCCTGTCTGGCCAAAGCCTCTGCAAGCTTCTGGTGCACTGTGATGATGCCTACACTGGCAGGTTGGTTGGAAAGACAGTGATGGTGCAAAAAGAGAGAGCAGAGAATTGAAAGAAGAAAAAGATATACATATAGAAAAAATGTCAGACATTGGTAGATAAACAATAACATACAAAAATGGCAATAATCACCAGCTGGTACAGTAATATACATGATGGCCAAATACAGCACAGTATAATAGAAAACAGTCTTCCACTCTTAGTATACTTACGCCATAAAATGCTTAAGTTTATTCTCCAGAGACTTGTAGTCAAAGAAAAAGGACAGATAAACAAGAAGGGCAGCCAGAACGTCATCCAGCTCTTTACTCCTGGACACAGAGAAGGATGAAGTAGTTGTGTGAGTTATATTTTCATGTGATCAACAACAGTGTAAGCTATGTTTATGTTTAACATGATGTCTTTGTGCTCCTTACTTCAACATGGACAGAAAGCAGAAAGGAATGGGAAGTGAATAATTCTCATGTAGCAAACTGACAGCCACCTCTGTAATACAGAAAGCTCTGTCATGACAGGGGCAAAGGTCATCCAGCCCTCCCTAGATATAGAAATGTGTAATTATCTGGCTAAATGTGATTAAGTTCTTGAAGAGCATTCTTTGGGGGTACTAGGGATAGGTGATCACAAATGCAAATCTGAGTAGTTCCTGTTCCCTGCACACTCTGTTATGATTTGTGGCCCTGCTTCCTGTTTTGTGCTTTTATTTTGTTACGTTTTCCTGTTTTGTATCACCTCTCCTGCCCCAGCTTTACCCTGGTTCCTATCCATCCATCCATCCATCCATCCATTTTCTAAACCGCTTAGTCCCAAACGGGGTCACGGGGGGCTGGAGCCAATCCCAGCCAGCTGCGGGCGAGAGGCAGGGTACACCCTGGACAGGTCACCAGTCCATCGCACCGATTAATTGTCTCTACTTGTTACCTATTATCTTCTGGTCTTCAGCCTTTATATTCACCCCCCTTGCCTCAGTCCGATTGCTGGCTCATCTGGTCTCCTGTGCTCTCTCTGTTCCCCACACCCTACATATTTGTGTTCTTTCTGAAGCCCTATATAAGTTCTGGCCGGAGCTCGAACCCGGAACCTTCTAATCACCATTAATTGTCTCTACTTGTTACCTATTATCTTCTGGTCTTCAGCCTTTATATTCACCTCCCTTGCCTCAGTCCGATTGCTGGCTCATCTGGTCTCCTGTGCTCTCTCTGTTCCCCACACCCTACATATTTGTGTTCTTTCTGAAGCCCTATATAAGTTTTCCTGTCTTGTTCCCTGCCTTGGCTATCTTTGGACTGTTTGTCCTTGGTTTTGGACTTGCCTGCTGTTGTGGATTTTCAGTTTTGTACCTTCAGATTTGAGTTTTTTGGTTTTGAGTTAATTTGCTTAGCTCCCTGATTAAACTGTTTGTTGTAGATTCTGTTGGCATTGTTACTTGTCAGGTTTTTTTTTGCCCTAGTCCTATGTTCATATTCTTTTATTAAAAGTCTGTAAGCAACTCCTTGGCCTGGGTCTGCATATTTGGTTCCTTCCTATGCTTTAAATGTAGCAAACTCCTATCTGTTCAGCAATGCTCTTACAGGAGACACAGAGAAGAGTAGCTGTCATGCAGTATCACTGTTGTAAGCTCAACAATACGGTAATACTTGCGTTTGACATCGTCAATGGTGACACGTTCTCCTCTCCTGTTCATCACTGAGGACCTGTAGACATTCAGGTGGGCAGGGCTGAGGCGCTTTCCGATGCTTTGGCGCCCTCTGTGGGTCAACGTGCACATATCAGCCAGCCTGATGAAGCGACAGTGGTGAACGCGTGCAGGTCAGTCTCAGGTGCAGTAAGCATGTTTTTAATTTTGTGCATTTACAAAAAGTGGATGATTGGCCTGTATTTTTATCTTTCGCGTTATCTGAGACGCAATTCAAGAAGGCCTTTATGTAAAAAAAACAAAAAACAAAAAAAAACTAATGAACGCTGGTTGTTGAGCTAGGCCTACCATTCTGCACGCCGTTGAAGATCGTTGAAATTGGCACTGGTTTTCTCCCTGTTAC